AAGCTTTTGTAAGCCCTAAATGCTGTTTTTTGTCAACTTTGTTAAGTTGTAATATATTTGTTGGCAAAGCAGTTTGACATTCGATAGCCTTAAAAAGGACCAGTGAGCTTAACTCTATCTTGACTAAAATTTTCAGCAAATATGACAGCCTGGATACCTAAGGGTGATCTTCTTTGGCCTGCTGTTGTAGTACCAGACTGATCAGGAGAAAAACTACAACGTTTGATGCGTTAGAGCTAGTTGTAGTGCTCTTTCCCAACTTCTCTCGGCAACACGCCCAGCGCGGATCTCGAAGAGAAACAGTGATGCCTGGTTGAATGTTAAGAGTCACGAGAGTAATGCAGGGTTGTCAATGGTTGGGGTATCCAGCCTCACGACGAAACAACTCCACTCGTAACGTCTGCCAGTTAATAGCTGGCTTGGTTTAATAGTGGCCAGCTTAACAAATATAGCCTTTTAGTGGACAAATCGTTGCCAGAAGAATAGTTGTAATAATGTATTTGTTAGCAAGGTAGTTTAACGTTAGACGGCCTTAAAAAAAAGCGATGAGATTGATGTGTAACTAGAGAACGTAAATACTTATAATGGCCCTGTAAGGGCCAGTGGTGATACTTCCAGTCATTTCTTATTATTATTTTTAAACTCGATAATTCACAGCTGGCTAGGAGTAGCTTGACTTTTATTCTCAGAGTCTCTGCGTACGGAGGCCGTGCTGGAGTGAGGTACACCGATAGTCGAAGAATATCTCATCTTTAAGTCGTTCCCTAGATAACTAACCGTCTGCCATTGGTCAGGGAAGTCAGCCTGAAGAATACCTTCTCTTTGGGAATGTCGTTGGGACGAACCACTGAGAAGGAGGCTGATGAAATTTCCAACTTTTCAGGGTAATTTTTCCCGGTTTGCTGTTGTAGAAAAATCTGTTCAGGTAGCACCAGGTTGGTTATAAAAACGACCACAAAACCCTAAATTGTTGGAACAGACTGTGCTCTGCTAGACATCTCCTGATATGACACCGGAGATTTTGGCCTTTAGAGCGCCTTTTATTCGTGTAACTTGATAATTTTGGTGATTCAGGATTGAATTAGACGTAAGTCGCTTGTTCAGTGAGTGAGAGTGTTTTCAGTAGCCAGCATTCTCAGTTGCATGGCTCAGAACTCTACTCTTGATGCGTTGCCAGTGAACGACTATGGTTTTTGATAATTTCCTCGGGAATATTATAACTAGACTTACTTTCTTCTATTGCAGCTAGCTTCGACTTTACTTCTACATTACCTAACGGATTCTACTAAACTAGAGTGAAAAGCCAGGGTATGGGCTTGTTTCTGGCATCAGGTAGCTAGTGTGAAATGAAATCTATTCAATATATAAGTATACTCCTATGGAAATCCTACCTGGGCACACTAGCGCCACCTAATGCTAGAAACAAGCCCATTGTTGCAAAACGTTGAGCTTATTTATTGCTTTTGTTATTAATTTTTTTAAGATAAAAACTTTACTAAGACCATCTAGGAAGTGTCAAAAATCAGTATACGAAATTTCAGCCAGAACGGTGCGAAAATTTGAAAGTGAAATTAAACGAGAAATACTCTCAGTCAAGTGAAATATTCAAAAAACTATAAGGGCGGGTTTAGATGGAGTCTGCCAGACTGGTATTGAAGCTCATTAGAGTGAGAGAAAGATTTATCACGAGACTACATCCAACCTTTCTCTCTCTTATGACTTTCAAACCATTCTGGCCAACTTCTAGACCCATCTCAACTCACCTTGAGCCAGTCAAATAAATATTCAAGTATTTTAAATGAGACGATAAAAATTTTGTGCGATAAATGCCTATAAATATAAAAAAAAAATATTTAAAAAAGTTTTAAATAATGTTTTTCTTTGTTATCATGTGCATTATTATTTTTTTTGTATTATTGTTAGGGTATGTTAGTATTCTAATGACATTAATTTTATTCCAAGTAGAAATATCAACTTTTATGAAGAAATTTCTTGCTACAGTGATTCTAAATTTTGATAATCAATCAGTTCATTTTCATTTTTTAGTTGATTAAAAGTAATCCGTTTACATCGGTTGTGTCCAACATTTTCTTTATTGTTGTTTGTCAAAATGTAAGTCTGGTACTTGCCGTTAGTGACGATAATTTCATAAGAAAGTCCCTAAAAATCTTATACAATATCATTTATGTTTGTGAATCGATCAAAAGTCTTTCTATAAAAATTACTAAACTTAATTTCTGACTTTCTTGAGTAAGACAAGTTATTTTTATTTTTCATTATTCTTAATACTGACTGCAAATTATAATTGCAACTAAAACATTTTGCTCTTGTTAAATTCATGACTTTAACTTCACCAACAGGCATTTTTATCTATTTGTCATGCGCTTGGCATTATTTATAGCTTCGTGCTTCCAGCCCACCTATAAATTGGCCTAAGTTTTTTTGAAGAAGACTAAAGAAGATAATAAATCATACAATTATTTGAAAAATGAGATGTTAGAAAAATTAATTTAAAACAGCTACACTTATATTAGCTGGCTTTTTTTCACAGTTTTCAATGTCCTGAGTACCTGACATTGCATTCAGTAACTTCGCAACTCTCTTCCTCTTTTTGCTTAAAATTTCAGTGGAAGCAGCTGAATCGGAATGAGGTCATTACACAATTTATTATCTGCTAATACAACCATTAAGTTTAAAATCAATCGGTGGATTAAGTAATTAACACTTCATAATTTGTGATATTCAGCAATACTTTAATTTTATTACTGTCGACCTTACAAAAACATTTTTTATTATCCCATTCAAAAATAATAGTAGTAGCTCTGGGGAACACAGATTCAATTGTATCCAGTTTGATTCAACTACTTTTGACTGGCAACTTGACGGTTACGAGCACCACTGCTCATTTGGAACAAACTCATTTTTACATCGAATAGAACACCTGAAAGATAACATATTTGATGCACATGAAGGAGTATTTTTATAATATAACCTGTACTGCTCTGAAATGCTTTATTTATCTGCGTTATTCCACGTATTTACTTAGTTTAATTACTTGTCAAACTGATTTGTGAAAATTACATGGCCAAGTGTGCGTGTACGGAAACAAAAATCGTCAACAAAGCTTCATTACCAAACTTACCACAAGTGGCGACTAGTCACGAATGACAAGCTTCACCTAACATATTCTCAGTGGTGGCACGTACGGCATTCCGTTAATAGATGCTGCGAGAGCTCATAGTCACTTACGTGGTAGAATGCGTGCCTTACATCTAGAGGGCTCAGGTACGAAACCGCAATTCGTCACTTTTTCGCGTGCATCTCTGTGGTTTTTTGATATTAAACAAAATGGTGCCTCAAATTATTTGTTTTTGACTATACAATTTTAAAATTCAAAAAAACATAAATTTAGTATAGCATCGTTAAATTTAACTGGTGGTCACAACAAAGAGGCTGCGTTCCTATGTACGCGTATTCGACTGCCGAAAATAACCACTCTTTCACTTCTACGGTAGGTTATCGGCTATTCTTACACTGAAAGGTCTTATTTAACATGCGTGTAAACACAGCTTAGGCGAGACAAGGCCAATAAAAGATAAATAATCATACAGCTATTTGCTAATAGTAAAAATTAATGTACTGCCATTTTGTACTCCATGCATCTCAAAAGTGAAGACATTTAATATTGAAGTTAACGTTATTTAATATTTATCAAAATTATTATTAGCTTTAAAACGTTTAATAATTAGTTATCCAAAGGGAAAATGGCTTGCACGGCATTTACATGGTCTTCTTAGTTGGTAAATACGAATCAATAGTAGAAATTGCTAGATTTCAATGAATACACACTATGAATAATAAATTAAGGGTAGTTAAGAAATTATTGAAGTTTTTTCCAGAGCCCAATTCAGAGCATTTTATAGTTTGTTGACTAACTATACTGTGCAAAGCAATTCATACATTAGTAATTTAATGCGAAAGATAGAGTGCTTAGGGTAAGCAATAGTACATAATTATAATTTATGTAAACTCTTCTGATAACAACTCTTGGATAAATAATAAAAGTATGAATGTAGTAGTATCTATGGTATTGATTTTTATTTTACTATAAATCTGTAAAAGATGAGAAAGTATAAGTCAAAGCAAAGTAATATATTAAAGTCAACAAAGTGGAATTCTAAGAACTGTCGTTTGGGTACTCTAGAAATTTCGCGAAGCACTAAAAAAAACAATAATGATTTCGTTGCATCATTAAGAAAATGTGCCTTTTGAAATGAACAAACTTGTGAAACGAATTTGTTAAATAATAAAATGTTTTATAAGAAAAAGAGGTACTAACGTTTATTTCTGCCATATTAAATAATAAATTAATTCCAAGTTTGGCAACATAATTTAAAATGTAAAAAAAAAAATGAAAAATAAATGGTAGGCAACGAAAACATAACATGATTTTCCATTTTCCTTACCACGTGTCGTGAGTAAAAAGTGCAATCATGAAATTTAGTAGTTTACGTAATGTTCAATAAAATAGCTATGCACAACCAATTATGTTCTTCAGCTAAAGTGTCGACAAAAACTGATAAAAAAGAAAGGAAACTTACTATTCCTGGAATCTCCTTGATAACAAGCTGTAAACCTAAGTGTCACTTAACTCAGCAATTTGAGTAACCAATTGTTATACATACATAATATATTTTTTAGTAGTAGTAGTAAATCAAGTAATTGTAACTTGTTCGAAAAGAGATCAAAACCCCGTTGCGTCAGGATCAATGTAACGTGCGTGTGTGTGTGTGTGCTTGCGCATGTGTGTGTGTGCGCGCACGTGCGCGTAAAGGAAAATTTAAAACTGCTATAGGGTTGTGGGATCACTGAGCTTAAACTGCTAGAGCTTATCTTCCTTATCTTTTTTTAAATTCACAATCGACTAAAAACTAGATAAACAACCACATTAATAAGTAAGAGAATGTTATTTGGTTAAAATAAGCAAACGCTTGTCTTACCGAGTAATTTTGTACAGAAGATTTAGCATCTAAATAATTGCGACAAGAAGACTTGTCAATATCATCAATTGTACTTAATTTGCCAAGAAGGTTATAGAACTTTGCGAAAAATCCATGTTTCGATATTCTTGATGGTTTCCCAAGTTCATCTTTACCGGTCGTACAGTTAATTATTTCTGCTTCCAATTGTCCTGAAATTTATGAAAAATAAATTGAACCACATTTTTTATGTATCTGTGAATAACTGAATGATTGAAATACATACGGTGTAGAGGTGAACAAGTCACAAAAAATTAAAACGTTGGTGATAAAAATGCATAGTATTAATTTCTAAAAATACAATGTAAAATTAGTTCTTTATTCATGAAGTGATAGATAGTAATCACTGATTGTAAAATTTGTGTGATATAAAACTATTACGAATTAAGGAAATTACATTACATGAAAATTCAGAGAAACTATTTTTACAGCTTTTGGGATCGCAGTGTTAAAACGTCATAGTTGTGTGTATAGCTCAAATGTTACAATTTATTTAGAAGAAATAAAAGATATTCGAACCCCTTCTCTTTCATAAGCTCTTCATATAGCACTATATCATGTGTTGTTGCATAGTTTTGAGTAGTTTTCGAATAAAAAATAACAAAACATTTTGAACTTCTATCAAAAAAACTCTTTCATCAATTTAAAAAATTTAGTATCATCCCAGATTAAAAGAATTGCATAAGGCAAACTGAATAAAATGTTTATTGATAATTTAGTGAAGAACAAGGTCTTAAGAGTATCTCGAAAATAAATTATTTAATCTAGCATTTTAATTAATATGTGTTGTCAGATATTCAATGCTTAGTGTTGACAACGAAATAAGACGAAATCAGGAGTCATCAGAAAACGGAATATAATACTCAACATAAATTTTATAGAAATATGAAATATATTTTCACCAATTCGATACACCCTTTGGGTGCCATTTCCACTTCATTCGCTCACAGCTCGTGAACATGTATCTCACCACTAAGAGCGATCGTAGCACCACTACGCTTGCTTCCCTCTCCTGCGGTTCCCCCACAGTCCCATTCCTCAAGTTTCACGCGTTCTACTCGCGAGTTTTGCGTTTGCGCACCGCGACCTGTCGGTAATTAAGAAGCAAGCCACCAAATTCAAATAGGGGCAGCTTGCATTCAACACTATAGCTCATTACTTTTGCATCATAGAGATTACTTTTCAGCTTAAACGGCCTCCTTTTGTCTGTGCACGCTAGTGAAACTTTCAGTTTAACCAGAACTTCGCATTTATATCGAGCTCCATGACATCAAGTAGTGTGGCTTGACAGCCACTAAATTCTTACGCTAAAACAAACCGTCTCGATTATTCCGCGACATCAAACAGACATCTATGCAAGCTCTCGTGGCAGGGCTGGTTCGCGTCAGCTGTTTTACTTCTAAACTTTCTGTTGAATGAAGGTACGTTGCTGTTTAGCTTTTTTGCACACCAGTTCACTTGATAGTGACTACACCGGAAAACAGATTAGCAACTGCAAGCGCGTTTTTTTTTGCAAACCACTGCAAGAAGCAAAAATCGTTCCTCCGCAAGAAAGTTGAACGTAGCTGGTTTTTCAACGTAAGATAAATGACCTAATTATGAAACAAGGTTTATGTATGAAATGGATTAATATAAAGCTAAAACCTCATTCATTGCTATCGAAAGTGTTTTTGTAATAATCATACCTTATTTTCCTAAAAAAAGGTATGTCTCATTAAATAGGACATTAGTTTTAAGTATGTCCGTATGCTTGAAACGAAAAACTGCGTGTTTCATATTCCATGGACGTGTACATATCACACAAAGTCCCTTGCTATGAAACAGTTCCCGAATAACTTTGTTTATACTACATGATACTAAGGTTAAAAAATTAACAACATTCAAATACTGATAGTAAATTGATTATTACCGGAAAATCTAGTGTAAAATTAGATTTTATTTACTGATAAAAAGGTAAGTGTACCAAATCATAACAGTAAAATAAACAAATAACTAACCTATAAATTTCTCTGATATGGGTACTTACAGCCTGATTGCTGTTAAATTTCTTTTTTTAATAACAGTTTAATTAAATTTTCAGATACATTTGTACCAGAGTCATGAAAACTGCTGACAAGAAAAAGCAACAATCATGCAAAAAAAGTCAGCAAATCAAGTCCCCATTCTGTACTAACTTAAAGTGGTATAATTTTGAAAAAATCAGTGATGGTGAAAAAAAGCGATGGAAAAAAAACAAAGTGAAAAGAATTCAATGCACTGAAGATAAGATAAGTAATGCTCTGAAATTAGTTGATTCGGGTGTCTCTTTCAGAAAAGCAGCTAATGCTTATAAAGTGCCAGCAGCAACTGTATGGAGAAAAAAACAGAATCCAAATACTGCAAAAAAAAGAATGGGTCCTAATACCGTTTCATGATGAGAAAAAAAAGTTGTTGACTAGATTATATACAAGGCTGACTAACGTTCTCCAGTGACAAAAACAGAACTTCTTGACACTATGGAAAAATATGTAAAGTTATTGAAAAAATCAAAGCCTTTTATCGATGATCGCCCATGCCGTCACTAGTATGAGAATTTTATGAAGCACCATCCTGAAGCATCACTCGGAAAACCACAACATCGAAGTAAATGCAGAGCAAATGTTACACAAGAGGACATGAAAGAACGGTTCCAAGATCAAGAAGATTACTTGAGATCCAAGAACTTGATGGACATCACTCCAGACAGAATATTTAATTGTGATAAAACCAATATTGCATTGTGTCCAGAGTCAGAGAGTTTTCACAAGAAAGGGTTTACGTTCAGTTTATGAACTCGTTAATAAAGAAAAGGAGAGTCTTACAGCCCTGTTTATGTAAGCTGCAGACAGCAGCCGAGCTCCACCTATGCTTATGTTTAAGTATAAAGAAGAAGTTCTAGAAATAATGGTTGAGACTACTACTCCAGGTTGGGGCATTGGTGTATCAGAGTCTGGATGGATGACAACTGACACCTTTTTTGAGTTAATAACTAACGTCTTCCACCAGAGGCTCTGGACGTATCATTTTTTTCATCCCTTTAAAGAAGCCTAGAGAAAAATGGTTTCAAAGTGAAAAAATGAGAAACTAACAAAACGATGGACAAAAGAAGACTTTTCAGTGGTTTTAAAAATCACACTTGAGAGTATGACCGAGGAAAAAAGTATAGTTATTAGTTGATTTAAGTAAAGCATCTGGGCTGTACCCTTTTTAATTTGAAGCTGCTGATTATAATGTTTTTAATAAAAGAAAAAAATACAATGGATCTATAAAGAAAGTTCAAGACTCAACTAGCTTCAGTCTACTGGAAACATTTCAGAAGAGCTTACCTAATAAAACTTTTGTTGAGTGTGAAAATGCAGTTCAAGCTAGATCATGGACAGGTAACATTGAAAAAAATGTATGTTCGAGTACTAAGTCAAGCTGAGTGGAAATTCCATCGGTATATAATTTAAAAGTATTGCTCTAGTATACTTTTTTTTGAGGTATCTGAAAATCATGATTTTGAATATTCACAATTTTGAAAATTTTATTGAATTTTTAGGAATAGATTCATATGTTACGTGGGAATTGTGGAGCTTGGGAGTGTAAGGGGATTGAATACACGTGAAAGAAAGTTCATGTCCGTTTTTTAGTGTCTCAAAGCGAGAGCAGTCGTGTGCGTGGCGTTAGGTTCGTAAGAAGGCTGATTGGAGAGAGATAGAGAGCGGGAGAGCTGATAACGCTCGGGCCCGCCGCCAAAAGGTGATTATCATACTCTGTATCCGTGGCTCATGCGCCGTGAGAGGTGAATCTTGGGCGTTAACTTACAAAGGCTGTAGATACTGTACGTCACACGTCCGAAGCCACGCGGTCATCGTCCTCGATGGCCATACTGGTTTGTGTATGCGAGTATATTTGTGTATGTATATGTTGTCTGTGAATTGTTTGTGTATACATAATTGTTCTTGTTTGCGCAGCTCTCTTTACATTATTTTTGTATAATTATATTCTTTGAGTAGTTATTATTTATTTAATTATTCTTTTTTATTTTTTTTAATTATTTTTTTTTTTTTTTAATCTGTACACATCTTATGTATAACCCTTTTTATTACATCGTCGATCCCAATGATCATCGCGGATTGGTTGTTAACTGAGCCGGTGGTCTTCTGCCTTCTGATCCTACCCGCTCGCCCAGTAGTACTTGTACCTCTCGTGCGTTAACCATGGCCCTCAGGGTTGACAAGTCTTGTAGTACGGAGTTGGTGTTTCCGCGATTCTTCTCCCGTCCGCCTGTAATCATTCTCAAACCTTTAAGTATTATTGGACCCCCCCTCCATTTTAAAAATCTAAAAGATGCGGCTGCCACTCCTAGTGCTACTTCCGCTGCCAACAATGCGTATTCCTTCCAATGTGAGAATTCCTTCTTTGTTCGTACTAACTCGTGTGCCCGTTGGAGTATATCCGCTAGCTTTGTACCTGTTTTTATCCTATCGTCAAGTCCGTGCTCCTGGTTATCGAGTTTCTGTAGTCAGTCTCTTTTTATCTAAGCTTCTATTAATTGCAATAACATACATCCTTCAGTCCCTTTCACCTTTTGTATTATATCCTTTAAGTTTGGATTTGCGCTTTCAAGCTTCATTTTGCGATTTTCACCTTCCTCTTGTCCTGGATCCAGTCTTGTATCCGATGCTTGAGCTATACAGTCTCTTGCTAAGATGACTACCCCAGAATCCACCACCTTCAGTGTCTTGTGTTCAGTGTGTTCACACTGAATGTGGACTTTGTCCTTTCTCGTGGTGGTAAAGGCATGTTGGTTTTTAGCATGGAGACGTGTCCAAAATGTGCCCTTTAACTTGGCTAATATTATCGGACATTCTTCTGGTTTCTTCACTGCAATCCCCAATATGATACGTATTTCACAGGGGTGGTCCTCTTCGACTTCCTGTGTTGGCTCCATTGGTGTGCATATTCGTGTTTTTCCTAGTCTTTTACATAGTCTTATCACCTCTTGCGGTATTGGCGTAAATATTCTCTCACTAACACTGCTCGTTATGGATTCGTATGTTGACTGCAAGTATGCCACTAAATCCGTAGTGCCTTTTTGTTCCACTGACAATGATGATATCCTAAAAAGGTCCAAATTTTATTTCGTAAC